TCTGTGAATTTTTGTACTATTCGACAAACCTCTTTCAAACAGTGTGCAAGCCTAGGACAGGACCAGAACACATGTAATGCTCTCTCCTCCTGACACCACCAAAATCTCTCAGAGATATTTGGAAAGAATCTATGCAAGACTGAGGGGGTTCTGTACCAATGGGCCAAAACCTTGAAGTTGTTGGATTTTTGTGCATAATGAGGATTTTAGGACATAACAGACTATATTAGTTTTTTGAGATGCCGCAAAACGTTCTTCCTAGGTCTGTCTCCCATTTGGTAAGGTATGGTAAAGAGAGGTCCTCAGTGGGTAGGACTGGAAGCGCATACAATTTGGAGAGTGCGTGAGGGAGCGTGCCCTTGTCCAAACAAAGTTCTTCTAGAGTAGTTAATGGGCGATGAAACCCACTAGGAGGGGGAAGAGAGCAGAGAAAAAGACACATAAGAGATCACCAGAAATCCAAGTGATAGGAGCCTCTTGGTCATAAGGGTCTGCAAGGAGGGCCAACAGCCATCCACCAAAAAGCGAGAGGCTTAAAAACGGCCCAAATGTGCAATATCTGGCAAAAAGTATGGAATCACCACTCTTGGAAAATGTTCATTCAATTGTTTAATTGTGTAGAAAAAAAAAAAAAAACTAATCACAGACATGCCTCAAAACTATTTCCATTTAACATTCCAACCTTCTGGCTTTAAGAAATAAAAAAGAAAGAAAACTGTAGTCAATTGCAAATATTTTTGCAGATCAAGCAGGAGGAAAAAAATATGGAATCACTCAATTCTGAGGAAAATATTATGGAATCATTAAAAAAAACCCACTATAGTACACTAGTACTTTGTTGCACCAACTCTGGCTTTTTTAACAGCTTGAATTCTCTGAGGCATGGATTTAACTATAGACAAACAGTATTCTTCATCAATCTGGCTCCAACTTTCTCTTATTGCAGTTGCCAGATCAGCTTTGCAGGCTGGAGTCTTGTCATGGACCATTTTCTTTAATTTCCTCCATAGATTTTCAATTGGATTGAGGGCCGGACTTTTTGACATTATATGTCTTTCTTGAAGGAAAGTTTTCATGGCTTTTGCCCTATGGCAAGATGCATTATCATTCTGAAAAATGTCATCATCACCAAATATCCTTTCAATTGATGGAATTAGAAAAGTGTCCAAAATCTCAATATAAACTTGTGCATTTATTGAAGATTTAATGATGGTCATCTCCCCCGTACCTTATCCTGACATGCACCCCATATATCATCAATGAAATTTGCATGTTTTCTTCAGGCAGTCGTCTTTGTACATGTCATTGGAACGGCACTAAACAAAAGTTCCAGCATCATCGCCCTGCCCAATGCAGATTCGTGATTCATCACTGAATATTCACTTTCATATAACTTTCATCCAGTGATCCACAGTTCATGATTGCTTTTCTTTAGCCCACCATAACCTTTTTTTTTCTGTTTAAGTGTTAATCATGGTTTTTGTTTGGCTTTTCTGTATGTAAATCCCATTTCCTTTTAGGCAATGTCTTACAGTTTGGTCGCAGACATTGACTCCAGTTTCTGCCCATTTGTTTTGTTGTGCATTTTCTGTTTTAAAGGAATATTGCTTTAAGTTTTCTATCTCTATGCTTCTTTGGTCTACCAGTACGCTTCCCTTTTACAACCTTCCCATTTGATTTATACTTGGTCCAGATTTTAGACACAGCTGACTGGGAACAACCAACATCTTTTGCAACATTCTGTGATGATTTACCTTCTTGAAGTTTTATAATCCTCTCCTGTGTTTTAACGGACATCTCTCGTGTTGCAGCCATGATTTATGTCAATCAGCTTGGTGCAAAAGGTCACCAAGGTGTGCAAGCAATCTTTTTTAACTGCAGACTAATTAGCAGATGTAGTCTTATGCAGATGTTTGTTTTAGAACTGCAAAGTACATGGTGATTCCATAATATTTTCCTCAGAATTGAGTGATTCCATATTTTTTTCCTCTGCTTGATCTGCAAAAACAGTTGCAACCAACTACAGTTTTCTTTCTTTTTTTTAGTGTTTCTTAAAGCCAGAAGGTTGGAATGTAAATGAAAATATTTTTGAGGCATATCCGTAATTGTTTTTTTTTTTTTCTACACAATTAAATGGACATTTTCTAATAGAGGTGATTCCATACTTTTTGCCAGGGGCTGTAGAATGGTCCCGAATGAGCCATCCAAAAGGCCTGGTCTGAATCAAGGGTTTCCCAGAATTGGGAACAGAGGTGAATTTCCAGGTGACAGGGAAGACTAAGCGAAAAATTGAAGAACATAAGTGCAATGTTGTGCCAACGAGTAGATGCATTTTAAGCAAAAGAGGCAAAGTAGCATAGCACCACAGAGCCCTATGAAGTAGGATTGGGGTGTGGGCCTGTTCAAGGTTGGGCCATAATTAAATTTCTCAATGCTGACACCAATCCAGCAGTCTCCCGAGAGGAGATGGGGAAAGAACAAAGAGAGGGCGCACAGGCCTAGTGCATTACCATAAAAAATGTTTTATAAAAAATAAAGTAGGTGTTATACTCACAAATGACAATATAGTCAAGGCACATCAAAAAAAGAACAGCTGGGTCAACACCGCGCTGAGTAACAGTCCGCAATAGGGAGTTTAGACATCCAAAACGTTTCGAGGACTTGCCTCTTCCTCAGTTTCAGAAGCTGGGCGGGGTTTTAGGGTCATGTGACCGCCGTGATTTGCCGTCACGGCAGTCACATGATCGGAAAAGGTCCCGATCAAAAAGGGGAGATCGGGACCTTTCTGTGAGTCACGGAGATACAGTATGTGCTGGGAGCACGCAGGGCACATATGTATTTTCTAATTGCATGCAAATATGCGGCTGCTCAGTGGCAGGGCCCAGACGCCGAGAGGCCGCATATTTGCATGCGCTTGGCATCAAGGGGTTAAAATACTGCAAGGGGATGTGTAGAGCTTGAAATAAATATAGAAATTTTGGTAGGAAACACATTTTAATAGTATTACAGCGCCCAAACAAGGAATGAAGTCCTCATCGCCAGGTGGATAAGAGGGAACGTACTTTCCTCAAGAGTGGGGGAAAATTCAATTCAAAAGTGCGAGGCAACTGTGGGGGAATCAGGATACATAGATTTTTAAGGGCTTTAGTGGTCCACTAAAAATTAAAGTTAAAAACATTGAAGAGTGGGAGATAACATCACCCACATCATCTCTGACATGTAACAGATATATCGGTCATAGCTACCACAGGATGAAAGTTCTTTCCCCTCCTTGTGAGGAACAGTTAAGTGTGCATGTAAAGTATTTCAGGGAAGGAGGATGGGTCACTCAGTGAATTAAACAACTTGACCATATAAAGGTCCTAACTGAGGGAGCAAAAGTTTGTAAGGGAGGTTTTGAATTTAGCCGCTCAAAGGCAATACTGTGAAACAAATGCTGACTGGAGGCTAGCTGTTGCTCTTTTTTTTTTTAGTAACCTGTTAAATAACCCCAGCAAAAATGTTTCTTTTAGCTAGCAAGAGGAAGTTGTAGAACCCCTTTCTGGTTTCCACTGCTGTTTGTGTTCCAAATGAGGAGATTGCTCCTCACTTCCTGTCCCAGTGAGAGCAATTCAAATACATTTCTAGTACAGAAGGCAAAGTAGGGGAGTACCTCTGTTTGGCTTATATTGTTGATGGCGCCTTCTTGCCCCTGGGAGCCCAGGACTCCTCATTTCTTTCCTGGTGTCATTGGGACACAAACATAAATCTCCCAAATTGAATTATAGACAGCAATAAAAAGCTCATGTCACTGCTCTATGCTACAATGGCCTGCGGCCAGAGGGAGGAACCAGTAAAGGGTTGAAGAATCTTGCCACCCCCATGTGATAGTCCTCGGCCAATCCCCAACTATCAGTACTGTCAAATGAAGTCAGTCTTACACTTCTCCATTACAAAAAGGGATTTTTATTTGCTCCAGGCAGCTGAACAAAGGGGCATTGGTAGGAAGGAAAGGTGAATAACATGCCATTAGAGTTCCTCTCTATTGCTTTTCCCTGCGAAGAACATAAAAAAGCAGTACTTAAAGGTTGTAAATGCTCAAAGTTTTTTACCTTCATTCATTTTATGCAAGAAAATAAAAAACCTTCTGTGTGCAGCTCCCCCGCAGCCATCCCTAACACTTAACTGAGCTCCATCATGATCCAGTGATGTGAACGAGAGCCTCAGCTCTCCCGAGTCTCTCACTCCTGATTGGTTCACACTACTGTCAAATCCCAGGCAGATACCAATCACAAAAGAGCAGGGGTGGGACCAAGCTATGCTTCTCTTGAGGTTACCTGTGGGTTTTTCTTTGTATCCAGAACAATTCTTCTGGAAGTTGTGGCTGCAATCTTTCTTGATCTAACTGAACTTAGCTTGGTATCAAGATATCTTTGAATTTTCTACTTCTTAATAAGTGATTGAACAGTACTGATTGGCATATTCAAGGCTTTGGATATCTTTTTATATCCTTTTCCATCCTTATAAAGTTCCATTACCTTGTTAAACAGGTCTATTTATACACAGACACTATTTGCAATTTAAAACGCCAGAGATGTGGGAAATTAACCTTTAATTGCCATTTTAACCCGTGTGTGTCAACCTTGTGTGTCTGCACCAAGGCCAAACAGTCCAGGGTATGTAAACTTTTGATCAGGGCCATTTGGGTGATTTCTGTTATCATCATGAATTTAAAAAGGAGCCAAACAATTCTGTGATAATAAATGGCTTCATATGATCACTATCCTAAACAAAAGACAGTTATTTTTTTTACATCAAGTCATCTTGATCGAATGTATCCGTCCAAACCAGGATATGGGGGGGCTTCGCCATGTGTCGAGTAAGGAGTTTAATCATTGGAAAAGAGATGGAAAATTCTGGAGACAACTGTTTTCTATGTGCACTAATCACACCATACAAGTGTAGTGGAATACAAAAAAGTACGACCAAGGGACATGGTATGAACAAGCTCTTATTCTCACCTTCTCGCCTTCTCTCTCGTAGTTTTGAAGCAGATGGCCGAGCTGCTTTGGATGAAACGGACAACTGTTAAAAAAGAAAAAGACAGATTTTAAAGTTTCTCTGCAATTTATCTATGCACCCCATGTGATAAACACACACCTATATTAAAGACTTGCCAACCGCGCTATAGCCAAATGACGGCTAGAGTGCGGTTGTCCAGTTCTGGGAGGGTGTCATATGATGTCCTCCTAAAACGTGGACACAGCTGATCACGTAATGTGGTAAAAGGCCAATCACAGTGGCCTTTTACCACGTGATCAGCTGTGTCCAATGACACAGCAGATCACCGGTAAATGCAGTTGCCGGTTATCGGCTGCACTTTCCTCACGCTGTCACAACGTGAGGAAATTACTGCCAATAACCGGCAATTGTCAGAGGACAGATCAGCACCGATCATCAGGGCACTGATGATCAGTGCCCTGATGATCAGTGCCACCCACCTATGCCCAGCAGTGCCACCCACCTGTGCCCATCAGTGCCTAGTAGTGCCACCCACCAGTGCCCAGCAGTGCCGCCAGTCAGTGCCCAGCAGTGCCACCAGTCAGTGCCCATCATTATTGCATATCCGTACCACCTCATCAGTGCAGTGCCAACTCATCAGTGCTGCCTATCAGTGCCAACTCATCAGTGCCGCCTATCAGTGCCCATCAGTGAAGGCCTATCAGTGCTGCCTATCAGTGCAGCCTCATCAACGCATATCAATGAAGGGGAAAAATTACCTGTTTGCAAAATTTTATAATAGAAACAAAGAAAAACTTTTTTTTTTGTTACTTTTTTGTTTATAGCGCAAAAAAATAAAGCACCCAGCTTCAAGTAAATACCACCAAAAGAAAGCTTTATTTGTGTGAAAAAAAAATTATAAAAATTTCATATGGGTACAATGTTGCATGACTGCGCAATTGTTATTCAAAGTGCGACAGCACTGAAAGCTGAAAATTGGCCTGGGCAGGAAGGGGGTATAAGTGCCTGGTAGGCAAGTGTTAATTTGGAAAGAAAACTATGTACTATCCTGATCCATTTCCAATAAATCATATTCCAGCTTTTCTGTTTCCAATGTAAGTTACAGAGTTTCGGTAAGCATTTTATTGAGTTTTCTGCACTAAAAATACCACATTTTTTCCAGTTTTATACAGAACAGAAAATATTAATGTAGCACTGACATTTTGTAACTTCCATTAGTAAAAACTAAACACGTTCTTTTCAAGGCCATTATATGAAGTACAGGAAGCACAACACTGCTAACTTTTTGATACCTCTCTTTCTGCATCAGGTTTGCTTTCTCTTGCAGAAATGTCCGAGGTTTTCTTTGTAGACTCCTCTGATGTTTTATGCTGTTAAAAGAGAAATTAAGTCTTAGAACCGTGGCAAGTATGCTGCTGAGCTAATGATGGATATATTATTTTGCACAAAGCAAGACAGCTTTTGATGCTCTTTGATCTGCTAACAGCAATGTAGATGTTCTAGAGGATGACCTTGCACATGCACCACTATACACAGTTCAATTAATGACACTGTTCTGAGTGCAGCAACCCACACAAACCGCTTAGTACCAAAGATCAAAGAAATATGCATTTCAATTGTGTTAATAAAATAAATATCAGTGTAGCCATATTATAGTTAGCATTTAAAACCAATGCCAAGTCATATTTGCTGATGGTTTTATATAAGTAATCCAAAGTCTATATGCATGCCAGGATGAGAAATAAGCACTGTATTGAGGTTCACTTGTAGTATTACCTTTCGTTCTGATCTCATGTCTTCCTCTGGTTTTTCTTCTCTGTTTCCTTGATGCTCATTGTTCCTTACACGTTCTTTTCTCCTTTCCCTTTCCAAATCCCGTTCTCGTCTTCGCTCCTTATCCTGTTCACGTGTTCTTGTCCTCTCATCCCTGTTGCGGTCACTGCGTTCTTTGTCTCTTTCACGACTGCGATCTTCAGGATCTCTCTCTTTAACCAGGTTTCTCTCCTTCTCGTGTTCTCTCTCTCTGTCTCTTGCTTTTTCCTTATCTTTTGTTCTGTCCTTCTCTTTTCCATGGCTCGCTTCACTTCGTCTTTCTCTGTCCTTAACTTTTTCTTTACTTCTGTCAGTTTCTGACCGAGATTCTTTTACTCTGTTTTTTTCTCTATCATTTTTCTCTCCTTCTCGCAATCCATCTTTCTCTGTCTCTCCCACTCTTTCTCCTTCCTTCTTTCTTTCTCTCTCAGAATGTTTTCTTTCCTCATCTTTCAGGTGCTGTCTGTCTTTTCGGTCTCTGCTTCCACTTCTTTCCCTGATTTCGGACTCCCTCCTGTCCTAAAACCCCCCCAAAAATAAGACGGCATTAGCTTTTATCAGTCAACAGTTATGATTAAAAAAGAAGGACAAAAAGAGGACATGTTCACTATATTCATACCATACAGTACACCTGTATTCTATCAAATAGGGTTTTGTCTGAATCAATGCTGTAACTGGTATTACCATGTTAGAAACAACCAATTGTAACTTGTTTGATTCTCCAATCATAAAGCACATCCAGTATGAAAGTATATGTAAAATCAAAATGTTTTTCCTTAGTTCTGAATAGCGTACAAAAGAATTCTGCAAAGTTTTAACTGCTGCATCTCCCCTCTGGGAGAATCTTCCTCTCTATCTGTTTTTCTCTTTTGGTGACCAGTATTTTACAGTAGTCATGAGATCAAGGGAGAAAGGAAATAATCACAAATGTTCAGGTGACATCTGTCTAGGATGGAATTCCCCTCTTATTTTCTGTTGTCTCTCCAGTGTAGAAGTGAAGGAAAATCTCCCCAGCAGAACACAGACACCAAAAAATAACCTGAAGGGGGGGGGGGTGTTAACTCTTCCTTACTCTATCCAAAAATAAAAATATTTTGGCTATACATACACTTGTACTCTAGGCAATCTATGTTCCCTTTATCCACCACACCTACCCTTGCTACAATTCCTTAAAAATCCCATTTCTTCTATGTATGTGATTACAGATATATACTTCCAAGCCCTCTGCCAGTGCAGGCACCAGAAGCAAAACAGCCAATCACATTTGGTGCCCATCGAGTCAGTAAGACAATGGCCTGGAATAAATGGTCTTGGAACTCTCTTCTTTGCTTGTACAAAGTCAATAAGCAGTGAGGTGAGGATGACAGTTCTGTTGTCTGAACCTTAAAAAAAATATCAGCAGTTGCAGCTCCACTATTCCTGTTCTGTTAGGTTCCCGTTAGCATATAGTATACAGTTTTTGTTTTTTTAACTTTAGGCTAGCTATGCTGTATGCCTTTATCCTGATATAAGGACAGCAAGTGTGCATGCCTACCTCTTTCTCCCTCTGGCTCCTTCGTTCTTCATCTTTTGCCTCTCTGTTCTCTTTATCTTGAGACTTGGTGCTTGATGGAGGCTTCCCTTTAGGTTCCAGTTTTTCTCCCAACAGAACCCTCTTCACAGCATCATCACTAGATAACTAGATATAAAATTATGAATTTTGTTAATACACTCTAGTATGGCAGATAGAGAAAAGAAAGTAAAGGTGTTGCCAACAGAAACCATATTCCCACTCATTATTCTTGCACAGGTCTTTGATTTAAAGCTAATAAGAGGCTGGCTGCCATGACCAACACATGTACATTTCTTTCACTTCCTTCTTGAAAACACACCAGCTAATGTTTTAAATATGACTATGAAAACAATTTGTTTAAGGAGAGACATACTTTACTCAAACAGCATTTCCCTAAGGCCTGAAGGAATTCATTCGTCCTCTCTGGTTCATGTCCTGCCACAACACGAGCCGGCTTCACAGACAGAGGTTCTCCAGTCACCAGAACAATCACATCTATTGCTTTCTGTAAGAAGCTGATTTTGGAATCCTTATCCTATGGATTACAAACAAACATTAATTTAAAAAAAATTAAAAATTGACAAGTAAACATAATGTAAAAATAGCAGCGCACATAAAAAGTCTACAGAACCCTGTTAAAATGTCAGGTTTCTGTTATGTAAAAAAAAAAAAAAAAATGAGACAAAGCTACCGTATTTTTCGCTCCATAAGATGCACCAAAAAAGGGGGGGAAATGTCAGTACGTCTTATGGAGCGAATATGGAATATGGATATTTCCACCGCCGCCGTGTCAGAATACAGGGCCGGCCGCTCAGCTCTGCAGCGGGACCTTACCTGTTCCTCTATCCAGCGCCGCGCTGTCTTCCTGGCTTCTGTAGTGTGGGCGCTCGGCTTGACAGCCGGGTGCCCAGTGCGCATGCGCAAGAAGCGGTGCGCTTTGTGAATGGTAAGGCGGCACCTGGACACATGACAGGTCCCAGAAGCCACCGGACCAATCACAAAGCGCAGTGCTTCTTGCTCATGCGCACTGGGCACCCAGCTGTCGAGCCGAGCGCCCACACTACAGAAGCCCGAAAGACAGCGCGGCGCTGGATAGAGGAACAGGTAAGGCCCCACTGCAGAGCGGACACTAACCAAAGAACAACTCCGCGGAAGAGCGGGTACCTGTCAAATTCAGGTACCCGTTCCCCCCCTCCCCAAAGGTCAGCAGTCATCTCCTGTACTGTCCGCAGTCTCTGGTCATCTCTTGTACTGTCCGCAGTCTCTGGTCATCTCTTGTACTGTGTCCGCAGTCTCTGGTCATCTCCTGTACTGTTTCCGCAGTCTCTGGTCATCTCCTGTACTGTGTCCGCAGTCTCTGGTCATCTCTTGTACTATGTCTGCAGTCCATTGGTTTAGAATATTTTTTTTCCTGTTTTCTGCCTCTAAAACCTAGGTGCGTCTTATGGTCAGGTGCGTCTTATGGAGCGAAAAATACGTAAATCATTTCATAACTTTTTCCACCTTTAATGTAACCTATAAACTGTACACCTCAGTTGTACAACAAACTGAAATCTTTTAGGTGGAGGGAAGTAAAAAATAAAAAACTAAAATAATATGGTTGCATAAGTGTGCACACCCTTAAACTAATACTTTGTTGAAGCACCTTTTGATTTTATTGCAGCACTCACTCTTTTTGGGTATGAGTCTATCAGCATGGCACATCTTGACTTGGCAATATTTTCCTACTCTTCCTTGCAAAAACACTCCAAATCTGTCAGATTGCGAGGGTATCTCTTGTGCACAGCCCTCTTCAGATCACCCCAATTGGATTCAGGTCTGAGCTCTGGCTGGGCCATTCCAAACCTTTAAATTTTCTTCTGGTGAAGCCATTCCTTTGTTGTTTGGATGTTTGCTTTGGGTCCTTGTCATGCTGAAAGATGAAGTTCCTCTTCATGTTCAGCTTTCTAGCAGAAGCCTAAAGGATTTGTGCTAATATTGACTGGTATTTTGAACTGTTCATAATTCCCTCTACCTTGACTAAGGCCCCAGCTGAAGAAAAACAGCCCCAAAGCATAATGCTGCCACCACCATGCTTCACTGTGGGTATGGTGTTCTTTTGGTGATGTGCAATGTTGTTTTTCGCAAAACATATCGTTTGGAATTATGGCCAAAGAGTTCAACCTTGGTTTCATCAGACCAGAACACATTTTCCCACACGCTTTAGGGAGACTTCAGATGTGTTTTTGCAAAATTTAACCGGGCTTGGATGTTTTTCTTCTTAAAAAAAAAGCTTCTGTGTCTTGCCACTCTACCCCATAGCCTAGACATATGAAGAATACGGGAGACTGCGGTCACATATGCCACACAGCCAGTACTTGCCAGATATTCCTGCAGCTCCTTTAATGTTGCTGTAGGCCTCTTGGCAGCCTCCCAGACCAGTTTTCTTCTCGTCTTTTCATCAATTTTGGAGGGACGTCCAGTTCTTGGTAATGTCACTGTTGCTCCATATTTCTCCACTTGATGATGACTGTCTTCACTGTGTTCCACGGTATATCTAATGCCTTGGAAATTCTTCTGCTGACTGATACTTTTTAAACAATGAGATCCCTCTGATGCTTTGGAAGCTCTCTGCGGACCATGGCTTTTGCTGTAGGATGCGACTAAGAAAATGACAGGAAAGACCTACTAGAACAGCTGAACTTTATTTGGGCTTAATCAGAGGCACTTTAAATAATAGCAGGTGTGTACGATCTCCTATTTAAAATGATTTTGAATGCGATTACTTAGTTCTGAACACAGCTACTTCCCCAGTTATAAGAGGGTGTGTGCACACTTATGCAACTACATTATTTTAGTTTCTTTATGCTTACTCCCCCCCCCCAAAAGATTTCAGTTTGTTTTTCAATTGAGCTGTACAGTTTATAGGTCACATTAAAAGGTGGAAAAAGTTCTGAAATGATTTATCTTCGTCTCATTTTAGTACACCACAGAAACCTGACATTTTAACAGGGGTGTTAAGACTTTTTATATCCCCTGTATCTAATATATCTAACATAAGACTATAGTGCTAAGAATTATATAAATGTGTAAATCAATGAACAAATTAATCGATTAATAGTGCAATAAAATAAATCTAAAAAGTAAAACTAGAAAGTGAAACAAAACATAGCAAAAAGTCCACCATAGTGTTAAAAGTACATGATCCCCCTCTCACACCAAGTGACAGAAAAAAATCTTCAATGTGCATGCAGCAATCAGCCAACTCTGTTTTGAAACACCACTTGTCCAGATAGGTCACCCCTACTGCCATTTACCAAACAGCATGGCTTATCTATACCTGATAAGCAAATGCGCTTGTGTATTACTCCTCCTTCATATCACCTTTGTCAACCAATCTGTTTTTACTTTGAACATCTATTCACAGAAGTGACTTGCAAACTTCTTTACGGTCTGATAAAAATAATCAATTAAAAAAATGAATGGAATACCAGTACATGCAGTGCTATTCACAGAAATTACTTGCAATCTTCTTTGCCATTTGATAACAATAATCAATTAAAAAAAAAATTTAAAGGAATGCCAGTACATGCAGTGCTATGAACAAAGAATTGCTCCAAAAAGTATTGGTTTCTTGTAACTGAATTTTATATAAGGGAAGTAAGATCAAGGATACTGCTTCTGCTGACAAACTCCTAATAATGAGCACAAAGGCTATACTGGTCATCAATTTGCAGAAAAACAAGACACTTTACGTATGGAGGGGTGAGTGACAACATGGTGATCTCTGTCCTGCAAGGCTTGACACAACTGTAATGTAAAGTAGACCTGAACTCAATAAGTAATTTGCTATGTATTGGTGACATCTAGAAATGGTAACTGTGCCCAGGTAGTACCCTGCAAAATAAACTTTTTTCTGGATTTCGCCCTGAAAATCAGCAGCACAATTCCATGTATGAAAAGGTGCCTAGGCTCTCCTATGCCTACAACTTTATAGCTGTATTTGTATAGTTAGAGATTAAAAAGGCACTGATGCTTGTGTCTGCTAATTTCAGAACTGGGTGAGATTTGAATGGTGATGTCACTACTGTGCTGCTCAATGTTGTCTTTGCTGGAGGTTCTTACATGAGGAAGCAAAGCCCTGCCTCTACCAAGATGGCCTCCTTCACACAGAGATACAGCGCAAAAAGAAGGCATCGTAAGGTGGTAATGGGGAAAGGTCAGCAGCAGGGAGACTACACGCAATGCTGGTGACTAATGCCTTGCATTCTGCTTGCTTTTTTGCAGGTACAGCTTCCAGAATTCAGTTCCTCTTTAAATTTTGTTTTACTTAAATCATGTAAAACATGTTTTGCTACACCAGGTGTTTGTATACATTGACATGTGTAAAGTGTAAAAATCTTCCAATTACAAAAAGGACCACATAGCTATTACCCTAATATTAAAAACATACTTGTTATTTAACTTTGATCCTAAGACTCCATTTAAATCTGAGCGTAGCGGGGGGGGGGGGGGGGGGGGGGTTTATTATCATTTTTCACGTGTTTTTGCGTATATATTTTACCGTGATTTTTGCATGTTTTCATACAGCGTTTTTGAGCTTTGGCATTTTTTCATTAGCCAATAGAGAAAAATGTCATCTGTTGCATCATTTCTTACTAGGTTTTTCTGCTTCAGCTTTTTCATTGGTTGTTTCTTTTTTTTATTATTAATTTATTAATTTTATTATTATTAAATTATTTTATTAATGTATTATTTTTTTATTAGGGTGATAATAAATGTTAAATAAATACACAAGTACGTAAAAATAAACATGAATAAATGCTATGTAATAATGAATAATAATTAACCCCTAACCCTTAACAAATATATAAAATTATTATTATTATTATTATTATTATTAATAATAATAATAATAATAATAAACTCGAACAAAAAATACATAATAATAATAATACAAAAAAAAAATAATCATAAATTCTTGTAATAATAAATGAATAATAATTATTAACCCATAACCTTAACCACCTAAAGCCTAAAAAAGGTAAAAACAACAACAACAAGAACAACAAAACAACAACAACAACACACCAAAAACAACAAACAAAAACAACCAAACAACAACAAATACAACAACCCTATGTCCTATGAGAATAAAAACGCACCAAACACTTGAAAATTTTCCCAATTTGAGCTACAAAAGTAGCTCCAAATTTTTTTTGAGCTTGAGGCGTTCTACTTCAGGCGATTTGGAGTGGAGATGTGAACCATCTCCATAGATTAATATTGATTTTTTTTTCCCCTTGAGCGTTTGAGCCCCAAGCTTTACGCTACAAAACACTCAGGTGTGAATGGGGACTTAGTGGTCAAATTTACAACAGTACATCGAATCCAGAATATTAATTCATACAAAAAAGTTTGGATGTGAAGTTCACTGCATAAGAATGATACAACAACCATTTTGATCCAGGGAGAGAAGATATGGACACCACACTTGAGTAAAAGCAGCACATTGCACCCACACACCTTAGCTAGAGACATTTAACCCTTTGATTG